ATCAGTGCTAGAGTCATGAAAAAACACCATTTGTAAGCAGTGGAAGCAGCGTGGCGAGGTTAACAAATCTTAGTTTACAGCTTTGTACCAAGAGTTTGAACGAGACATTAAATTACGGATATCCAAGTGAACGTGGATTTTAGCTCAAGCTTGGTGGGCTGGATAGACATCTCAACATTAACGAAGAGCCACGTCTTTGGAAGGCAGTGTTGAGGATCTCAACGGCTACTCCGCAAACAAAGATAATGTAATGAAAATCTGAAGTTAATCGCGCAACATACATCGTTAAGCTTCAGAAAATAAAAATACGGAGGCATCGTAATCGGTGTGAGTCCTCCGTTGAGCATAAGTTATATCACTAGATTCGTAAGTTCCTGTTCTTCATTGTTGGGCATATAATTTTTTTATTTCTTTTCTCATCTTAAATCCTATAGTTTAAGACGCGGGGAATACCGGTATTTGGCCGGTCGCCATACATTACTTTGAATGATGCCTCGCGATGCAGACATTGGCGCGATTGGAGTTTAAATAGTTCAGCATTTCAAGCTGGCCCTTTTGTGTATTGGCTGATCCTTTTTTTTGGTTTGTATATTTTGATTATTAGAAATATTATTTTTTTGATAATAGTTTAAATATTTTCTTTAAATTTGGTAATGTTAAATTATTTTTATCTACTTGTGAACATTTTTTTTTTTTTTCAAAACAATACCGAAAAAAATTGCATATTCACATACGCATTTAGTCGAACTGAAATCCACAGTTAAAGTCACTTTGTTTAAGCTCACAGTTTTCTATAATTTTCTCTTGTTGTCTGTACTGGCCGCAACAAATACTTCTTTTGTGTTTGTATGTTCATTTCCTTTGTTTTGCCTAAGCTTCCTTTCACTCCAAGCGTTGGCAGTGACATCGGTCAGCAAATAGTTACATTATTTGAAGCCATGGATTGATGGCACGGTTGCTTTCGGTGTGTGCCTACCCAGTGGTATAAGTCAACAAAAGGAGGTGTTCCCCAAAACGGTTCCTCCACTAACAAATATTAAGGAATTCCTAAAATTGGGGTGTCGCCTTTTTCTTTAATGCCGCGAGTGCCATGGTGGCGTGCGCTATACAACCCGCTCCCTTTGGGTAATGGGGGCGGCGCCAAATGATTGTGCACCAATACATACTCGCCGGAGAATTTTGAAGGCTGATGCGTAGCTTGCGGCTCGCTCGTAAGTGCGTGCCGGATCAGATTCCAGCAATCTATGAAAGTGCGAACATCTCTTTTTACGCAGGCATGCGATTTTCTTTCAAAAAAAAAAAACAAAAAAAAAACAAAACAAAAAAAAATTGTGATATTTTTTTTTTATAAATATTATAGTGTAGTGTACCAGGTGAGGCAAAATAGTGAAAGTTTTAAGCCAGTCGGGGCTTGTTTAAGGGCAGTCGAAGCACAGTGCAAAATAGGTTTTTTTTTTATATTCCAGTGGCGGAGCCAGAGTTTGGCGTCGGCATCATCCGGAGGAGCACCGAAGTCGGGACGCACACCCGACCGAGCAACCGCTAAGTATCATTTTGTCAACTTATTGTTTGCGTACAATTTGTCGTGCCGACAGTATCACGTCCTTACCCATCCTTCTAGCATCCCGCACCCAGAGCCCAGTTATACAGGCGAGTAAAAGTTACCCCGGCAGCACGGGAGTAGTGCGAGTGGGTTCGTAACCAATATGGTTGGACCACACCTCGGGTGCACCACAAAAACATATTTTGTTTTATTGTCTTAAGTAGTTCAAATTTGCTGTTAAGTTGTTGCCTTGCGATTTTGGTTTATATCGGCGTTAGTTAATTCACTTGGTATTGTTTTTCCCCCCGTTGGATTTTTTTAGTGTACTTAGCTGTTGACCCACGCCGTCTTCACTAAGCTGGCCGGTCGGTTTGTTAGTTTTTGTCATCTCCTTTTTGTGCGGTAGTTTGTGTTGACGTGAGTGATGGTTGGTAGGCGCTTGAACAATAGCCACTGTAGGTATATATATAAATATATATGTACCTATGTACATGCGCACATACATATTGAAATAGAAAAAGTGGAGTTGACAAATTGGCGCTCAACGTGGGGCTCGATATTTAAAGTTATAATTTGTTTAGATAAATTCTTCCGTTTCTGTTTCAGTCTTCGAGTGGCGTTTTGTTTTCTTGTTTTGCTTTTTATTTAAATAATTACATATTACCGATTTGCTATATTTTTATTTATTTAATATTAGTAGGGCATTCCACGAGTGGAAGGAGTTAGTGAAGATTGGGAGTTAAACCCAGGCCCAGAGGAGATATAATTAGTCTGTACATAGCACACAAGATTTCGGTGAGTCCGTTCCGTTTTGCGCGTTTATACCGGTATAAAAAATTGTTCGTCTACCGGGTAGATACTGGTCCAAAAGTAACCGGTAGTAGGCCTGCCGAGGTTTTTAGTTTTTTTGTCAATTAAAGATTTTTCTTATTAATCTTTTATTTTTATTTATTATTTGAATAAAATTTGTGTTGTCACCATTGACGATATATCCGTTTTCTTTATTAATTTTTTGTTTTGGGTGGTTAGGCTCTTGTGTTGTTTTCGTGATAGGATCCTTTGTTGTGCCAGTGTAGGGCAACGCGAAAATTACATTAGGGTGATAGATTTTTTTTAATTTTGAATTATATTAAAAATTTGTTGCTTAATTAATTTTTTTTCTCTTTGGTTTTTTTCTCTGTTTTTGAGTATACATTTTTTATTTCAATATGGATATTAATCGGTTAGCGCAGGTTGAGCTCGCGTACGAGATGGAGGCACGCGGTCTTCCAGTCGGTACGGTCGAGGTCATGCGTAAGTCGCTAAGGGCATCACGATTAATTGAGCGTAGAGGTTCGACAAACCTCTTCCATGACTAACCCTTCAGTTTCGACGAGGATAAGACGGCGGTCGAATCGAAACTGGAGGAGGTAGAAAACTTAATTGCAAAGATCGAATGGTGCCTATCGTAAATAGGTCGGGCACGACCGGGCAATGACGGCAAGATGAGTCAGCAGATGGAGCTGAAGAGCAAGTTGTTGCTCCATCTCGCCGAACTACAAGAGGTAGGCGGCAGCGAAGAAGCCGAAGAGGAAATCGGTTCGGTCGAGCGCTCGGGTGCCACTCGTGCGGACCCGATAGTACCCCCGCCCGTGGAGATACGACGCGTGGTCGAGGAGACAGTCGAGTCTCAGAAGCCGGTGAACTTGTCAAAGTGGGACGTCCACTTTGACGGCGAAAAAGCGGGAATGTCGCTTTTCGCATTTTTAGAAAGGGTCGAGGAGTTGAGCGAGGCACGCGGTGTGTCCCAAACTCAACTTTTCCGCGGCGCGGTAGATTTGTTTAGTGGAAAGGCGTTATTATGGTTCAGGTCGGTTAGGAAGACAGTAGGTAGTTGGGAGGAGCTAGTACGAGAGTTGAAGTTGGAGTTTTTGCACCCCAACTACGACGAGCTCTTACTAGATGAGATTAGGCGAAGGACTCAGGGAGCAAATGAGTCCATTGGCGTTTATGTAGCAGCAATGAAGATAATGTTTGGCAGGCTGCAGGAGCCTCTATCGGAAAAGAGGATGTTAGGATTGATTAGGGCGAATCTCCTACCATTCTACCAGACCCAGTTGGGACTGGTAACAATAGGGTCAGTCACGG